GGCGCCCCGCCCCCAGCCCCTCGCTGGGGGATTCTAGGCAGGGGCTCTACCACTGAGCCACGCCCCCAACCCCTCACTGGGGGACTCTAGGCAGGGGCTCTACCACTGAGCTACACCCTCAGACTCAATATTTTTATGCTGAGAGCTGGAAAGATGGCTCAGTGGTTAAGATCAGTCACTGGCTGCTCTTCCAGAGGACCTGGGTACAATTCCCAGCACCCACATGGCAGCTCACAACTATCTGTAACTGTAGTTGCAGGAGATCTGACACCCTCATGCAGACACAAATGCAAGCAAAACACTAATGCACATAAGATAAAAATGAATTATGTTTTAAGAAGAAAATTTTTATGCCGATCACATATCAAAATGTTATCTTACATATGTTAATAAAATATATGAACAGAAACTGGGGCTACAGCTCAGCTGTTAAGAGTGCTTGCCAGCCGGGCGTTGATGGCTCACGCCTTTAACCCGAGCACTCGGGAGGCAGAGGCAGGCAGATCTCTGTGAGTTTGATGCCAGCCTGGTCTCCAGAGCAAGTGCCAGGATAGCCCCCAAAGAAACCCTGTCTCGAAAAACCAAAAAAAAAAAAAAGACTGCTTGCCACTGGGCATGGTGTCACACACCTTAGAACTATTCTTAGAGGCCCCCTCCTTTTCTTCTACATTGGTTTTTGAGACAAGGGCTCTCAATGGGATCAGCCTAGGCCAGGTGCCGGCCCTAGAGGTCCACCTCCCCCAAGCTGAGGTTACAAGAGCACGCCTCTGTGCCTACCTTTGTACACGGATTCTGGGGCTGGAGCTTACGGCCTCATGCTTGGATGGCAAACACTTAGCTCACTGAGTCGTCTCCCAGCCCCTTGTATTTCATCCCAGAAGATTCTAATACAGTGTAATAGCTCCCAGAATGAGGTTACCAAGACAAGGGAAGGCTCTGGACCCAGGCTTTGCAGCCCTGCAACTGAAGAACAGATGGATATGCAATACCAAAGGGTGCAGAGAGCTGGGGCTGGGGGAGGGGAGAGAACACACTAGAGTCCACCAAGCTCCCAGCCCACTTCCTTTCCTGGTCACTTCCCCTTCCAAGCTCTGTTGACAGAGCAGATTCCACAGGCCACACATTTGGCAATCCTCTGGACTCACAGCCAACTTCTGTTTGGGGCAGGGCTGGTTAACCCCAGCTTTGGGGTCATCACCTGGATCTCCCTATGATTATCACCTTTTGTATGTCCAGATCTTTTGGGTTTTTTTTTTTAAGATTAATTTATTTTTACCCTATGGTAGGTGAGTATCTTGTCTGAGTGCATATCTGTGAACCGCACGTATGCCTGTGGAGGCAGAAAAGGGCATCAGATCCCCTGGAACTGGAGTTACAGACAGTTGAGAGCCACCGTGTGGGTGCTGGGAATTGAACTCAGGTCCTCCGCAAGAGCAGCCAGTGCTCCTAACCACTGAGATGTCTCTCCGGCCCCTCTTTTTGTTTTATTTTGTTTTTGAAACAGGGTCTCTCTATGTAGCTCAAACTCACAGAGATCCACCCATTTCTGTCTTCCAAGTGCTGAGATTAACGTTGTGTGTCACCGTGCCTGTGTGTCATCATGGCTGTGTGTCACCATGACTGGCTGGGCTTTTTTTAATTTTTGTTTGAGACAGATAGGGTCTCATGTAGCACAGGCTAGCCACAAAGTCACTGTGTAGCAGAGAAAGACCTGGAACAACTGACCCGCCA